GTCTGCATTACTATCTTCTTATCACTCCTTATCGCCCATCCCCTCCCACTTGTGACTGTATGACTGTAACTTTGTCACTTGTATCCTAACGAATTATATTGACTGTTTCCTGGTATGATTTGATTGCTTATTGTACCCTATGACTATCATTAAGTGTTGTACCTGATGATTCTTGACTCTTGATGAATGTCTCTTTTCTTTTATGTGCACTGAGAGCATTTGCACCAAGACAAATTCCTTGTATGTCCAACCACACTTGGCCAATAAAGAATTCTGTCTATCTTTCAGTTTTGCACGCGGATTCTCACTGCCGTACTTATGTGCGATTAAAATTATTCTTCTGCCCATTTTCAGAGGGCGGGATCTGTTGACCTTCCTCCCGTGAAGACCCGTTCACTGGGGGGGGGGGAATCAGCGACCCAGAGAGCAGTGGGCTGCCCTGCAAGCAGAGACCAGGCGGCCCCTCTCTCTGCATATTTGTGGTATGAGCCCATGTCCACGGGTGCTGGGCACAGCTGCTGCCCGGTCTCAGCCTGGCCGGCCCCTCGGAAGTGCACAGGCCAAGGTGGCGCCAAGCTGGAGGTGGCCTCCATGGCTTTGCCAAGAGGGAACTGGGCTTGGCGGGTCCAACAAAGGGGCTCAGTGGGCCCACACCTTCCAGCGGCTGGCGCAGTGGCCCTCCTCCACGTCAGCCGGTCCCACCCTCCCCTCGTAGGAAGGCCTCCGCCGTCTCCCTTTCCGCTTTCTGCTTTGTGTTTAAATAAGAAAAGAAATGGTGAAGTTGCTAATAATGGCTCTAAGAGAAAATATGCTACATCTGCTATGGATAGCAGTACAAAATTAGCTACTCACACCTCTGACACCCAAGATGTCTTCACTTAAAATACCCGTCGGCTTCCTTTACATAACTTTGCTGATGATATTTAAAAGAAATACAATTTTGCAATTACTTCTTCTTTCTGGTGTATATCATTTTCTTTTTATGTTTATATATTTCTGCTTCATTAGTGCAGACTGAAGGGTGATTAGATCCCTTCAAACATTTTACAGAGGTTAAACGTTGATTAAGATTTAATTATTACTGTAAATAGCTTGGAATGACATATGGTGCCAAAACCTGACATATGTGCATTTGAATAAATGAAGTGCTATTTCCCAGGATGCACCAGGAACTGTTTAACAGCTTTGGTGAAGGGTTATGTTGCACCTCATGTTAAGATTTCTTGGATGTTATATTTTGTTGGGTTTCTGCAGCTGAAAGCTAAGAACAGTTTTTTCCAGTTTTTAAAAACATTGAATATTTTAAATACCTAAATTGTTTTGCACAATTTTTTGCTAATTTGTCTAACTAGGTTAAACATTTTCAAAAGCTTTTAGGTTTTCCATGTAGGTTTCCTAGCGTTGTTGTGTCAGCCTTTGGCACTGCCTCCCGTCGATACCGTTTTGAAGATTATAAAAAGTAATAATTTTAAAAGGAGCATTTTGGGTGGCTGCACCTGCTTACGCCCCTTCCAGGGTTCTGACCATGTACCCCTTGGGAGGCTCCAGAGCCTACGGGATCAAAACAAGATTTCAGTACTGAGGGGCAGTATTTATTTTATTTCCTTCCTCAACTGACATAGTCACTCATCTTGCGGGAATCATAAAGCCACCCGTATCCAAAGCCAACAGAACCGACTGGCAGGGGAGGGCATCATTCAGACTTCTCCAAGAAACGGGTTCCCTCAACCCTTTGGGGGCCACTCAGAGGTGGGCATTCAGCAGGTTCTGACCAGTTCTGGAGAACCGGTAGCGGAAATGTTGTGTTGTTCGGAGAACTGGCAAATCCCGCCTCTGACTGGCCCCGCTAACCCCATCTCTTCTCTGCCTCCCATTGAGTCCCATCTTAGTCTTTTGTTGCCCTGCGCAGGAGAACGGAGCTGGAAAACAGGTTAGCGGGGTGGGGAGGGAAGGGGGATTTTACAGTCTCCTTCCCCTGCCACTCCCACCAAGCCACGCCCACCAAGCCAAGCCACGCCCACAGAACCGGTAGTAAAATAATTGAATCCCACCACTGGGGCCGCTATGTCTTCAGAGTTTAGAAAAGCCAAGTGGGGCTGGAAGTGGGGGGGGGGGGATGAAAAGAGGCATTCCACTTCCTTAAGTCTTGCAAACCCATTTTGAAACCCTCTGTGCTGTATCCACCGGGGGGTCTTGGACAGTGGTGGGATTCAAATTTTCTTACTACCGGTTCCGTGGGCGTGGCTTGGCGGGCCTGGCTGGGGAAGGAGACTGTCAAATCTCCAGTCAGAGGTGCGATTTGCCGGTTTTCTGAACTCAGGATTTCAGCTACCGGTTCTCCAGAACCTGGTCAGAACCTGCCTGAACGCCACCTCTGGTCTTGGGTCCTCTGGCTGACTAAAATGGGGCACAGGTGCTGCCCGTGATGGAGGCGTGGGACATTTGGGGATGCCGGGAAGACCTTTCAAACGAGGGAAGGACATGCCAGAGGGAAGCCAAGCCCCCTTGGTGTGGGGAGCAGAGAGGCAGCACATGTCATGGCCTCCGCTTAGAGGCAGCATTGAGGCGGCTTGCAAGGAGCGTCCAGCGTGGGATGTTGTGGCATGAACAACATACATACTGTGGCACTGAGCGGTACAGGTACTGGTACAGGGTCTGTAAGGGTAAAAGGATGATCTTGTTTAGGATGGGGTGGCCCCAGAGGGGGGGCTATGTGGCCTTCCATTCCAGGAGAAAGAGCGGGTCCTCCTTGGACCCCGGCCTCTCCTGGGAGTCCAGACTGGACACAGCAGCAGGTCCTTTGGGGCGCAATCGTGGCTTGTACACCCCCGGGAGGGGCCGGTCTCTGCACCCCGGGCCTCTTACCCTCAGTCAAAGCACCAGGGGGACCTCCCTATCTCCCTCCCACCTCCCCCTTTCGCTTTCAGCCTCCCAACTCCGAATGTTGGCTTCTGCCGGCACTTCCTCTGGGCTCGGTGTCGCAGCTGTGCTGTTGAGATGCTTCCAGATGATTCTTCCCACTTTCTCTATTTCCCACCTGTCCCTCTAAGAGACAGGCAGCCAAAGGCAGCCACCAAGATTGTGTGTGTGTGAGTGTGAGTGTGTGCTGAACTGGTGATTCCTCGCGCCTGGCAAGACTGTGTGTGTGGCGCTCAAGACGGCCACGGACGGGGCGGGGCTTGGGCCACGATGAAAATCCACGGGGGTTCCTGCAGAACTCTCCGTTGGTGTGCTAACAGACTCCACTCATGTCACTGGTATAACTTTGGTGTGTGTGTGTGTGTGTAAGTAATGAATTAAAATCTATTATCGCTCAAACCGCTCCGATAGAGCCGTAAAGCACTATAAGTCCAAGTGCTTTTGCTGTTGCTAATTAGAGCAGCTTTCCTCCTTCCTTTGACGACACGAATGGGTGGGTTGCTCGGGCTCCGCTTATGCTGGCAGGGGATGATGGGTAGCTGTGCTCCTGTCATGTGTCTGCACACCCACTGCCTCACACACACACACCCCTCCCATCTTCCTGGGGAAGGAGGCTCCAGATCCAAGGCGCTGGGGAAGCAGAAGTCCCCTGCACCTGGCCCAGTGGTGGGATTCAAATTTTTTTACTACCGGTTCTGTGGGCATGGCGTGGCTTGGTGGGCGTGGCAGGGGAAGGATGCTGCAAAATCCCCATTCCCTTCCCACCCCCTAACCTGCTTTCCAGCTCCGTTCTCCTGTGCAGGGCAACCAAAGAAGACCCAGGCCGATCAACTGGGACTCAATGGGAGGCAGGGAATAGATGGGGTTGGCAGGGCCAGTCAGAGGTGGGATTTGCCGGTTCTCTCAACTACTCAAAATTTCCGCTACCGGTTCTCCAACAATCAGCTGGGTCCGAACTGGTTCGCTCCTACGAGCATGTGGGGGCTTTTTTAAACATGGAGCACGTGCACAGAGGAGTGTTCGATGCATGCGTGCGCATACACCGACCCGGTTGTTATACCGGTTGAATCACACCCCTGCTCTCGGGCCTTGGCTGCTCCAAGTAGCCTCTCAGAACCAACCTGTGCCAGGGCTCCGGCTTCCACCCCCATTTAAATCATGAATCTCTAGCCGCATCTCTCCGAGTTTAAAGAAGATTTATTAGGAGTGACCATACCTGGGTGTAGCCGACTCTGAGACACATCATTCATTTGACCCTTGACCCTGGTCTTCCCCCCACCCCCTGGATGTATCTTCTCCAATGGGACACATCCATAGCCAAGAGTCACCAATCATGCTCTCCAGTAATAATCTTGTGCGCCAGAAGCTTCAGTTGCCTAGAAATTATCTATAAGCATTTAAGGCAGTGGTGGCTAACCTTTTGGGGCTCCTGTGCCAAAAAGTTTGTGTGTGTTTGCACGCTCATGCTCGCGTGCCAGCACCCAGAAGGCAATGCGCATCCCCCCACGCTCCCTACACATGCCTGTGCAATCCCCCCCTGCGGCCCCCTTACCGGCACCGCACCTCACAGCTGATTTTCAGCCGGTTTCAGGCCTTTTTTGGCTTCCCAAAGGCTTGAGGAAGGCTTCTGCAGGCTTCTGCAGGCCAAAAATTAGGCCCGTTTCGTCACTTACAGTATTTCCGGAAAACAGAAAGTGACGAAACGAGGCTGGTTTTCAGCCTGAAGCCTCTGGGAGGCCGAAAAAGGCCTCAAACCAGTCGAAAATCAGCGGTGAGGCGCGCACATGCGCAGTGAGGTAAGTTTGCCTGCAGCCTGCGTGCCGGAACAGATGGCTCTGCGTGCCACCTGTGGTACACGTGCCATAGGTTCACCATCACGGATTGAAGGAATGCACTACTTCCTCCACTTCCTTTCTGCTGACAACTCTAAAATCTTTATGAGTTGACAACCTGGGTGAGCAGAGGAGATCCAAGAGGTCCGGGCGTGGTACCTCTTAGCCTCTCTGCCCCCTGGCAGCTTTCGTGCCCCATCCAGGGGCCTCCTTCTGACCCAATTTTTCCTGCCTTCTTCTTCTCGGCAGATCGAGACCGCCCGCTTGGAGCCGGACATCGCTCAGGCCACCGCCAGCCTGACCGTCACCTACAACAAAGGGCTGTAAAGCCGAAGCCAGCCCAGCCCTCAGCACCCAAGACGGTGGCAGCGGCAGCAGCAGCAGCAGCGGCGGCGGCACAGAGAGGCGTGAAGGGAGGAGGGGGGCTGGTGGGGAGGGGGGCGGAATACAATAGGAAGGAGAAGACGAGGAAGCTGTGGCTTGTAACATCTTCCCTCCGTCAAGAACGGAGTGTAAATTAGCACTTTCCCGAGACCCGGTATCTCACGTTGGTCGAAAAGATTAATATTTAAAGTTCTCAATTAGCGACAGTAACAGCACAAAGAGAAGAGGGGGGGGGGGGGGAGGAAGGAGGGAGGCGGGGGTGGGTGGGGGGGGGGGGGGGGGGGCTGTTGGAAAGTCTGACTTCCTCTGGCTCTGCTGAGCTCCAGGCCAGCCTGGCAACCCACCCCTCCACCCCCAACCAGATGTTTGGGGGTGCAGCTTTCAGGATCCCAGGCACCCATGGCCAAGCAGGGAGGTGCAGTCCCAGATAGTTTGGGGACGGGGGGGGGGGGGGAGCAACTGCAGAACTATGGGGAGGGGGACCGCCCTGCTCCTCCTTTCAGGCTGGAGGGCCAAGCTGCAACTCTTTTGAGTAGGCGGCTTTTCAGTCCTGGCTGGAGCTGTGAGGGTCACTTTGATCGTAAGCCCTTCTCAGGGCTTCCTTGCTCCTCCCCAGGACCCCTCCCCCTTTTCCCTGAGCAGAGCCGCCTCCTGCAGCCCTCAGGAGGTGGGGCATTGAACCCAGGAGCTCTTGGAGGGGCAGCTGGGGTCGTCCTTTCTGTGTTGTGGGGACAGGGTTTTTTTTGGCTTTTAGACTCCCATGGAGGGAGGGAACCTCCCTGCAGTGGCCCTCCCCACGGGCCCTTCAAACCCAGGGCAGAGGAGGGCCTCTTTTTATGGGGCCAGCCGTGGGACGGAGGCCAGGCCAGGGCTCTTCCCTTCCCACTGCACTCCACACACACCACCCGGGAGGGCCTTGGGGCAGGGACATAAGGGGGTGGGGAGGCAGCCATACTGGGTGGGTGGGGGGCAGAATATGGGGCAGCAACAGCAATCAGCCCTAGAGCCTTAGAGGTTGGGGGCCACAAAGAGGCTGGTTCTAGCCCACTGAAAATAGGCAGCCTGCTCACACACCCCCAACCCCTGAAATACTTTTTCTGGCTCCCTCCTGAAAGGCCCCCCCCCGCCCCCCCGCGTATTATGGCTCTTGCAGGTTCTCCACAGGCAGTGCTGGTTGCAGCTCTGGGAGCGCTTCAGAGAGGGGGTTTCTCTGATCGACCCCTTCTTTTGGAGAGGGGGGGGTGGGGGCTGAGCTTTGCCTGCTGTTTTAATTCTCACAGGACTGGCCAGCACTTCCTGCCTTCGTGGGAGTGGATGTGGCACATTGGTGTCTGAGACCAACTGCCAAAGGCTGTAGGTTGGTAGATTAGGAAAGAAAGAAAAGGAAGAGAAAGAAAAGGAAGGAAGGAAGGAAGGAAGGAAGGAAGGAAGGAAGGAAGGAAG